AATGGTGATTCATGCACGTGTACCGATGTTTTTAAGTTACAGAATGTTGATTCATGCACGTGTACCGATGATGTTAAGTTACAGACTGTACGTGTCATGCACGTGTACCGATGATGTTAAATTACAGAATGTTGATTCATGCACGTGTACCGATGATGTTATGTTACAGACTGTACGTGTCATGCACGTGTACCGATGATGTTAAGTTACAGAATGTTGATTCATGCACGTGTACCGATGATGTTAAGTTACATAATGTTAATTCATGCACGTGTACCGATGATGTAAGTTTCAGAATGTTGATTCATGCACGTGTACCGATGATGTTATAGTTACAGACTGTACGTGTCATGCACGTGTACCGATAATGTTAAGTTACATAATGTTGATTCATGCACGTGTACCGATGATGTTAAGTTACAGACTGTACGTGTCATGCACGTGTACCGATGATGTTAAGTTACATACTGTACGTGTCATGCACGTGTACCGATGATGTTAAGTTACAGACTGTACGTGTCATGCACATGTACCAATGATGTTAAGTTACAGAATGTTGAATCATGCACGTGTACCGATGATGTTAAGTTACAGAACATTCTGTAACTTAAAATCATCGGTACACGTGCATGACACGTACAGTCTGTAACTTAACATCATCGGTACACGTGCATGAATCAACATTCTGAAACTTACATCATCGGTACACGTGCATGAATTAACATTATGTAACTTAACATCATCGGTACACGTGCATGAATCAACATTCTGTAACTTAACATCATCGGTACACATGTATGAATCACCATTCTGTAACTTAACATAATCGGTACACGTGCATGAATCAACATTCTGCAATTTAACATCATCGGTACACGTGCATGAATCAACATTCTGTAACTTAACATCATCGGTACACGTGCATGAATCAACATTCTGTAACTTAACATCATTGGTACACGTGCATGAATCACCATTCTGTAACTTAACATTATCGGTACACGCGCATGACACGTACAGTTCAGTTACTCAAGTAAAGCCTGACGACCACTCAGCTTTTAGAAGACATTTCCAATGAACCTATACTGTAACGGTAATTATGAAACTTTAATACGGTGATATTTACTTGAGCGAAACAAAGCTATAATCCCGTATGTATCCTTCATCGTCTTGTGTATGTTTTATTGATTACAGCGGTTATAATGTCTCACGAAACGATAGATGAGAAAATTTAGCTTTAGGGATGTTTGTTATTTTCCTGACTGTGTTATGAATATTTTCTCTCGTT